TTCACTGATTACATTGAATAGTTTGCTTGGTTTGTATTAAGGCAGGAAAGTTGCCATTCTGCCGCAGCAACAGATATTATAGAAGTGTGAAGGGCAATTGGGAGAAATAAATATTTGCACTTTCCTTATATTTTTTGTGGTAATTGATTAAGATATGGGTTTTTTTTATACATATATGAATATGAAGAAGTATGTGCTGTGTGAATATACATTAAAATCACAAAGTTATTCCTAATGTTCTGTAGTGCTGCCTGCTCCTGACAATATCTGATATGGATCATATGCCTCTAAAAAGAAAAGTACCTCGAGCAAAATATCCTCATGAAAACAGGTTGGAGATACTCACATTTGCTCACTCGCTCTCACTCACATGTTACATTTTGGCACGTTGTATGAGCAGGTAGCATATCTACTACCTGCTGTTGAAAGTGTTGAAGATACTGAATTATTTATTCCATCTTCTGCACTATCCAAACTCGTTTTGGGTAGTTTGACACATCTCGGTCTTCCATATGGATACTTCATGGTGACAGAGTTGCCAGCTGCTCAGGTTTTATGACAGTCTCAATTTTTTCGAGGAGTGTATTAGTTTTCTGGGAAGAATCCTGCTTTTCCTGAAGTTCCCATTCTCAGGCAGTTAATGCTGTGAAGTGGGATTTTTTTGGAAAAACTAGCTAAAAGTTTCTATAAAAATATTTTTTAAACGACTTGATGTTTATAGATTGTGCAAGATGCAATCAGAGCTATGGGATATTAGAAAAATAAGAAATCCATTTGCTAAGAAAGCTAAGTTCCTTTTAGCAATAGTCTTCAAATTTTTTTAAAAAGTGTTTAGATATCAAGATGCGTAACAACATACAAAACAGTTTGAAATACTTTGGGGAACAGGATTTTCGGGGCACTTGAAATGTAAGACTAATGAGTCTGCCAAGACCCTGCTCATCTTCTCTGCACTTGTGCAGTGTGAGTGGGTCTTCTGTTGTTTTAAAATATAAAATGTGTAAACCTGAAAACTGGGAAAACATTTGAGTTTTGAGTCCACCCAGGCTTTTTAAAGTAAAGGCAAATCAGCCATTGCCTTACTTTGCCATTTGTTACTTAATTCAAGCATCTATTCATATAAACCTTTTTAAGGGAAACTCACTGTTTTGGTGGGTCTGTGCTGCAGTGAATTTGATTCCCCTTCAATGAGATAAATCAATGTTGCTTGCAGTGGGCTCCTTATATCCATGATGTTGACTCGCTCCTCTGTGTCATCCTGGATGCAAACTGGCACCAGATGATGTGAAGTAATACTCTTCAAAGTTTTTTGTTCAGATTTACTATTGAATAGTAGTGTTACTGTTAGTCTTAGGGCTCATCTATGTTGCCACAACCTCTTGGGCATACTGCATTTTTCATGCACATCATTTGACATGTTTGGTTTTTCTCTAGAGTTGGACAGATAAGATACCCAGTGGAATGAATTTGCAGACTTTATAACAATAAATAATGCTATTTAAATGTTTTCTAATTGAGTAGAACATCAATTTTGCAAGTCTTTTTCTTTAGAAAAGTCTTTTCACTATACAGCACTGTGTTCTGTGGGGACCTTGGTGAATTTATTGCCTTCAGACACTGTCCTTCCTTTGTTTTGCTTATTACTTTTTTCTTGCTCCATCACAGCACGTATTTGAGCAGAGTTAATCCTTGCATCTTATATAAACCTTCAGCAATGACTGCTTTTCACTAATGGGTTATTTTGATTTGCCTATGTTCTGCTCTAATAAGATGCCTTTGCTTCATTATTTAATGCTGCTGAAATCTGAGGGAGGAAGATGATGTGGATTCGTGGCTTTCTCCTTCGCCCATCACCACAGCAATAGCTGCTTGGTCTCGACCTCTCCCTTCATGGGAACAGAGAGAACAATGTAGCCCATGGTGAACAATCTGGCCACTAAAGTAAAAATGTGCATCTGTCAGTAATTAATTGAAGCCAAATTTAATTACAAATCAGGGAAAAAAATAGTAGCATGCATTTAATAAAATTCAAGAAGCTTCAGTGTTGTTGCCCAAAACCCAAGTCAATCCAAACAAAATACACCCCCCTCAAAAGTCTACAAGTCTTATATGTAAGAGTCTCTTTCAAGTTTACTTCTTGATGTTAAATATAAAAGTAGTTTTGATTAACTGTTTTCACATCCTTTTCAGCACGTTTTTGAGTTAAAGGTCATTGAAAATAGTGTAAGTTTTTAAGGCTAGTTCTTAACCAGTCATGTTGACTGGGGTTCTGGCCCCAAACTTGGATTATGACATTTGATTGTATGTGAATATTATGATCAGCTGGTTGAAAAAAAGATTTAGAGAGATATTAAGGAATTGAGAGACAACCCAAATAATTTACAAATTAAATAATGCATTCATTTAACCTCTTGAATATTTTAAATATGAGAAATTTGCTTTTATTCAGCTTCAGCTCCATTCTAGTTTTGCTGTATAACATTAGTGGTGTCAGCAGGTTGAGACAGAAGGTTCTCAGAAATTCTACATGTCCTAATGGAGGTCTGAAAATCTGGAAGGCATGAGAAAACACAGGAAATAATGGGGCTGGAAACATAGTCCCCTACTACTACAGCTGTGTCAAATAGCAGATGTACATGTAGAGAGCTGAGAGGGTTTTTTGAGGTATGGTATATATGAAGAAGGGGAAAATGGATTTGATTTCTGGGCAGTAAGTTCTTTTGGGAAATGTGACTAAGGTCTGTTGCAGTAGGAACAAAAATTTCACTGACAATCCAAAATAACATAAAATGAAGGGGGATATATTTTAAACAAAAAAAAAAAAGGATTGTTTTTTTAAAAAAAACAAAAAAAAGTATTGGTAGTACGAGTTCAGAACAGGCTATTAATTTCTACTGTATTTCAGCACACAAGGTAAACCCTAAACCCAAAACTGTTGGACTGGTAGCACCATGAATATTTATCACTGTGACTATATGTACATATAGTAATTACAGCAAGAGGAAAAAATATTTTTCTTTACCATTAATATTTGTAAACATTTATGAAAGTGCATAGAAATGAATTAGACAAACACATGGCCTAATTAAGATGAAAAGCATGACAACTCTTGTGATTTGTTCTGAAAACTAAAGAATGTTAAAATAGTAAGACTTAATTATTTCTGTAACATATTAAATTACACTTTACCTAGAAAACCTTATGAGATATGTCTATAAGCATTTTTGACATTTGTACATTTCATGTCAAAAAATTACTGTTAATTTATTTATTATACTGTATACTGTCATATATTATTACTTATTAGTATTTATTGTTCAGAAATTCAGAGTCATCTATTGTTTAAAGGAAAAGCATTTTATATCTGTTTGCAATTTGTGTATTCTTGGACTAGTGATAAAAATGCAACTTCTTCAAGTTAATAATATAAAAATGCATGTAATAATAATCAAAAATAACCGGTCTGTATATAACATTCCAGGCATTAATAATGCTATTTAATATACAGTTTACATTTGAAAAATAAGTTCAAGCCAAATCTGAACTGCTGGGTTGAAATCAAGGAAGCAGTACAATGGAGGAACCAAAGCCTCAGGTTTGATCTTCAGGACCTTGAAGATATTATCGTCTTTGAAACTCTTGCAGATGGTTCCCCTAATGGCTCCTGTTATTTACTGTAAAATTTTGGTTGGCTTCTGAAGAACTGGAGAAAACATAGCCATCAGCAGTGGTGTGACTGTGTGTTGTGTTTCACGGTTATCAATGATGATTTGTTCAATCATAGTGCCTGCGTGGTGTCCTTTGGCACCCTGACTTCACTCTGCTGAGTGCACAACAACTGTGGCCAGAATAAAACCGTATTTGGGGTAATAACCTGAGGGTTTAAGACTCTGCTGTAAATGAATGTATTTAGATACAGTATAATGTGGATCTCTGCAAGAATGAAGCAGTCATTGCCTGGTGAAAAGTATCGTGGGATATGATGCCTCCAGGTGTTCAAGGTTTTAGTTCTAGATTGATACAGCCACTTCTTCCAGCTTCACACTCTCTTCCTGAAGGGTGGATGAATGTCAAGTCAGCCAGTGCCATCTAATGAACAGTCTTTTTTTAAAGTACCTGTTTTCCCTAAAAGGCTTGTATTTGTAGTGATATTCAAGTCTAACTCTGTTTTATTGTAATACGGCACCTTGCAGACAAAGAGTGCTTGTACCTTTTCTCTGGACAGTCAGATATTCAATCATAAACTCATTTTACTGTGAATGTAGTTGTTTTACAGCAGAGATTTGTAGTCTTGGTTATCATTTACAGTGCAAGAGAGTCACTATTGCTCTACAGGATCATACCCTAAAGTAATCCTTTTCCAGAGAGAGCTGGGTTACCTCTTCTGCAGTACAAATTGTGGCCATGTCCGTCAGTCTTTTGTGCTGACAAAGCTTCAGCCAGGCAGAGTGAATATTCCAGTACAAATCAGGTACTGTTTAAACTCGCCTGGTGAATTGTATAGTTCAGCCTCTGTATCCGTAGATACATAAATATGACCTGTGTGGTCTCCCAAGGGAAAGGCAAAATGTGTTTTTAGTTAAGTTGCATGGGAATGTAATTGAAAGATTTAGGGTAATGCTGTAGAAGAGTAAATCATGGTTACATGACACAAAGAAGATTGATAAAGCAGAATAAAAATAGCACCTTCACTTTTATAATTTGATTGATATAAATGGAAAGCTGCATTAGTCATTTTGTCTGCTGGTAATTTAAAAAAAAAAAAAAAGTAAAGGCTTCTGTATTTTACTGGTTTTCAGTCCTTTGGTATAAAATAATGGACAAGACCAGTAGCAAAGGTCAGAATGTTCTCTGGACACATTGTGGCTCTGAACCTGCAAGCACTCTCCACTTCTTTCCCATGAATATTTGTATTGAATGTACAGTAGTTCCAAAGAGATCAGGACTCTTAAGTGATTCAGACGAAACACAAGCTTAATGTAAGACCAGAGCTTGTGTGGATGGTGGCCCTGAAATTTGCCCAGCCTCCACGGCAGTCTGGCTACTGCATGCATGATGGTCTTGCTCTATGGAAGGTCATTTGTAGCCCAGTGAATGCTTTGGGATATTCTGGAGAGGAGAGGTAGGGCAGTCGTATTACAAATGCAACCTTTAGCGCAAGTTTTTCGAGGATTTGCCCAATCTATTTATTGAAGGGGATGGTATATATTATGTGTTGTGGTGTTGATAGGTTTAGATAAGAATACCATAATAGCCATTGAAATGTAGGGGGGGTTGTGAGATGGTAGGTTAATGATGTAGCTGTTAATTTGAATTTAGCAGTCGTATTAAATACAGGTTTCTCTTACAGAGACAAAAGTTGCAATTTAAAGCTCTTTGGTGGTCTAAAAACAGCTTAATTCTCTAGTAGCATGGTAATAAGTACTAATCCAGCTTATGCAGTGATTGTAGTATGTCGTGTTTGTGAAAGATTGCCTAACTCTGCTTTCTCTGGGTTTTATGTTAATTTTTTTAAATTAAACATAAAACCTTATAACATCTTTATGCTGAGATAAACTGTTCAATTTAACTTGTGCTCAAGCAGCAGCTGTCAGGAATTATCATGTTTCAAGCGTTCTTGCCATCACCTTGTGTCTCTACCTCCTGGATACACTCTGTGGGATGATAAAGCTCACCTTGTTAGGATTTATTACTTAAATAATAACCCGAGGTAAAATGAAAGTTGATGTCACATGGAATGACAACTGACATATATTTATGTTGCACGTTACCTTATAATAAACTTTCTTTCTTCCCCTTGTAATAGGTGTTAAATGGAAATACACTCCAGCATACGCTCCAGTGCCCTGCGTGAGTCCATTAGCCACATATGTGGCTGCTCTCTGGGCATGTTCAGGAGGACTCGTGCTGTCAGGTGTTATTTAGGCTTATAATGCTGGAGAAATTGGTTATCACTGGTAGTTAGCAGCTTTATGACAGCAAAGAAACAAGTATAAGAGCATCTCACATTTATTTGGTTTAATTCTGTGTGCTCATATTTGTTGGGTTAAATTCTGAAATGCTGTGAAGTAATGCAAGCTAATCGAGAAGGGTATTTTCTAATAATATTACCACTTAAATGGATTTATTTTTTTCTTGCTGTAAGAAGTGTAAGCAGTGTCATTTAAGGCTCTGAATCTGAATTTGTTAGTAATTGAAACAGTTTTCTCTTGACACTGGTTTACTGATGAGCTGGGCAGTGATAAGTGATGTGCTTGTTAATCAAGTCTCAGCATTTTCCATTTACAGTGGAGAAAATTTGGGTCTACCTCTTGAAAGCTTTTCAAGTTTTAGGTCTTTCTCGCCTTGCTAAAAGCCCACCTTCAGCACTCTTGAATTCCACCAGTTTGTCTACACCAGTACTGCAAACACTGTTTTCCTTTCCTGTGGATATAACCTTTTTTTTTTTCATATTCCTCTCCTAATTATTCTGTTGCCCATATGAGTGAGTTGAGATATTTCAGACCTACACTGTTTTGCCTAAGCTTATATCTCTCGTTGTGCTCCCCGTTGCCCTTTTCTCTCCAGTTGTCATGTTAACCTTGGCACCCCCAGTGTCTTCTCTTTCCACTCCTGCTTTTATGCTTTGTTCTGCACTGCTTCCTGTGTTTTCAATCCCAGTTGCCATCTTTTCTTTTTTTTCTCTCCCTTCAGATGCAGCCAAGTTCATAGATGCTGTCCTGCATCGCTTCGGTTTTCTTCCTAACTTATTGCAGAAAGAGATTTTCTGAAAAATCAGGGAAGGGTAAACTGTAATACAATCCAGAAATAGATAAAATTTTGCCAAGCAACCAATTAATCTATTTTTTGTAGTATTTGGGGTATGTTTTATCCTGTTTGTATTACTCTTTGTACGTCTAGTGCTAAACTCACAGCCGTTTCTGAGCAGGCATGTTGCATCACCTGTAGGAAGCTGTCCTGCCTCTGCTTTGAGTCTGGTGCCCAGGTCGTTGCGAGGTTCAGAGGTTATTAGTCTTCATGACAAATTAGTGATGACTTATGTAAAACTATTTTTTCCTCTTAGCATGACTTGTAATAAACCCGAGCTCATATCCTAATTGGCATTCTATTTGACAGTCCCTTAAAACGGTCAAATATTTGATGAACAAGGCAATACCATTCATCTCTTACTTTCAGAAGCCTTTCAGATCCCCATTGACTCAGGTTGATGAAGATGGACACAGGATCTGTTCTCTGGGAAGTGTTTGTTCTATAGATATAGATTATCTAACAACGGTGTATGTTAGGATAGGTGATGATGTGATATACATGGATATGGGAAGTTCACAAGTTTTAAGGTTGACAGCCAGAATCATGAGTTTATAAGATTTGTGATGTAAGTTCGGCAGTAATCTTGAACACAAAATCCATGTAAAAATAGGAAGGATGGGAAAAAATAGAATGAAGGATAGGAATAAAACCAGAAAAAAGCAGTAAAGATTTTAAAGTAATTAAACATTGGATAAATCAATTCTGAATCTGAACCACTAAAATGGTGGATACCAAAAAAAAAAAAACCAAACAAAAACCACAAAACCGAAAAAAAATATGCTATGTTAAAAAGTAGTTTATTAAAGCTTTAAAACCCATTTTCTCTTTTTTGTTTTCCTTTTTTTTCTCCCTTCTCTCCCTTTTGATGAGAAATGTCTAACACAAATATCTGTGGCTCTGCAGTTCTCTGTAGGTTCAGGATCCAGTTTGCTTGAAAGCAGTGCTAGCAGGGGACAGGAGATGCTCACATACTTTGGCTGAAATGCAGGGAAGTCTGCCACTGGTTACAGTAGGGTCACAATTTCATATTACACATTTAAATACATTCATTTTCTGATAGCCTAGTAAGTTATACAGGGCTAAGATAGCAGCTTGTTAGTGTTGTTTGTGCCTGCTTTATATAATTGAAGGATGCATGCAATGTTATAGACTGTGGAATAGCTGGAGTGCTGCGGCAATTCTAGGGTGCAAGGGTAGAAACTACATTTCATTATAGAGAATACCTAATAAAATGTGAAAGTAAAACAGAAAAAGGGTGGGGAAAAAAATACAAAACCAGACCATGCTAGATAAGTGCAGTGCATAAATCAAAAGGGTTTATGTCATAACATGATCTGCTCATATATTGAATTTCAGTAGTCAGTTGCATAAAGAAGTAAAGTGTAATGAAACTGGCAAGCAAAGTATTCCCTAGTCAGCCTTATCTTTGTTCCATTTGTCCTTCAGATACAGCTTTTCTTGCCTTTTTCAATAAAATCCATCCAGCTTTTTTTATTTTGCATCTCTCTGTAACCGAGCTGGGAAGACCAATGAGATTTGGTGCTTTTCTAGTTGGGTTCTTAGCAGCTGCTTTTTAAGAGATCAAAACTTCGAATGCTGCTACATGGTATTAAGGCTTAGCTATTGATGTGTCCCTATAGGGGTTATGTTTTTCTTGGGAAGGAGGGAGAAGAAGAAGAGGTGACCCCTGTGAGCATGCTCACAGATAGTAAACACTGCTCTCCTTATTTTCCAGGATCCTCTTTGCAAGCTCGGTGCTTAACCTGGCTGAACTCACTGCCCTCCGCCCTGACCTTGGCAAATTGAAAAAGGTCCTCTACTTCCATGAGAACCAATTGGTATATCCTGTCCAGAAATGCCAGGAAAGGGATTTTCAGTATGGATACAACCAGATTCTTTCATGGTAGGTGTTTCTCACATTGCTCCATGTTAGTTAAGGTATCCTTCTGTCCATAACCTTGCAGCACTGTAAGCCTGAGAAGTCCTCCACCACATAAATGATGCCCCTGTAAGCAAACTGAGGTACCTGCAGAGTTCTGAAGAGAGGCTGATAAAAGCACTGTGGCAGAAAGAATCCACTCTATAAACTTGTCTGAATTTATTGTATAATACCTATCAATGCTCTGTTGGGCTACCATGGTGTACCCATTAGTGATGGGGATTTTGAACTATGTCTTGGCCAGAAGTGAGATGCTTTGTTTCACGGATGCTTCGCCAAGCTGCAGCTCTTGCTTGGCCATAGCTTTTACTGCATCCAACTGAAATTATATAGGGGGTTTTAGGCAAATAAACAGAAATTAATATGTACTGCAGCACTTTTCTTGTGAAGGGAGGGCCGTAAACTTACCAGATAAATCCTTATATTTCTTTCATCTAGCATTCAGAAATTGTGCAGTGCTAAAATACCCAGATGTTTTAAAGGCTGTGGCCCTTTATTGTTGCTAAAACCAAATGTATTTCTTGAATCTGAGTTAATGAAAGAAGTTAATAACAGCAACACTGAAAAGCTTTGTGGTTAGGCACTATACAGACTAAAGTGAAGCAGCAACACTTTTTTTTTTAACTGAAATAAATTCATTTCCATGATCTTTCTTGCCTGTCTGCTAGTAGAAGAATTATTAGGAATAAGGATTGAGCATTTTAAGGCACAAATTAAGCTTTTGCATCTTTATAATATAAGCCAGTTGATACTGAAATTTCTCAAATAATGATCTCTCTATGCTTTGACCATTCTGTAGCTGCTTCTGCCACAGCATTTGCAACATGTTTTGCTTACTGAGCAGTAAAGATAGGGAACTATATTATAGTTGAAATATATTTCAAAAACAGTAGCAGCCATTTTCAGATGTTACAACAAAAAGATGTATTTTTTGGCGCTGGGGCAAGGAACACTTTTTTTTTAAAATATATATATGTTGCTTTGTTATGGCAGTTATTTTTCACACATCTATTGTAAACTGATAAACATCCTCAAAATACACATTTTTAAGATTATAAAAGTATCTTCTTTTATTAGGGAAAAAAAAAAGACAACTTCCATTCTGCCCTGTTCAGACTCCAATACCTTCTCCATGTAATTATATAATATTTGTGTTCCATTTTTGTTGCTGCAGAAACTCCCTTCCTAACAGCAGATAGAAGCCATCTCCTCTGTACTTTTAGTTACTACCTACATCTGCAAAGAAATGCTATCTTCCCATCTTCCAAATGTTAGAAATAGGAAAACACATCTTTCCAGTTTTGCATAGAGGTTTTTGGAGATGCTTAAAATAAGAGTGCTCTGAATCTTCCAGCTGGTGCTTTGTATTATTAAGAAAGAGATTTTTTTTTTCCATCCCCGATATTACTGGAGAGTTAATGTAATAAAATCACACTTTTCAGTGGTGACTGAGATTCCTTTTAGCTGCTCAGGCAGTGGTGGGATCTTTCTAATTTGCCACTGATACGCAGAGCCTGCAGGAAAAAGTTAGGCAGGTTAGACTTCATGCACAGGAGAAGCAGATGATGATGCTATTGTAGACTTTGCTACATGTCAGAGAGCTGTAAAGAAATGTGCCAGGCTCCTGCCTGTCTCATCTGATCTGTAAATCAGTGCAGCAAAGACGACTGGATCATTTGTACAAAAATGAGACCAGTGAGTTAAAAACCATAGGCAGGGGAGAGGGTGGAATTCCTGCAGCCTGCTTGAAAAGGATTGTTTCTCTCTCTATTGTTGGTCTTTTCGCTTTTCCGGCTGACTGCTGCTGCTTCGGTGAACAGTGCCAGTTTTCTCTTGACCAGACAGCAGAGAGATGCAGTGAGGATGAATGACAGCCTCTCACCTCAAATATACTTTTCACCAGCCCAGTGACTTATGAACACATGTCCTCAATGTATCTTGTGACCCATGGGTCTGTATTACAATATATAACATACTGAGAAAACCAACTGGCCATAAAGCATTTCTTACCTCCGTTGGCGTTGTCTGTAGCTAAGACTGTGTCAGCACTTCCAGGATAAACTTTCAGGTTTTCTGATACAATGTGTAGATGAGGCCCTCAGTGACATGGTGTAGTGGTGGTCTTGGCAGTCCTGGGGTAATGGTTGGACTTGATGATCTTAAAGGTCTTTTCCAACCTAGTTGATTCTATGATTCTATAGCTTCTTGATTCCTCCAGGCTAAGTAGAGAAATAATACCTATGTTATCATTTAACCTAATCTTAAAATTATAGATTTAGTTGATTTTAAAACACAGCAGTAAAAAACAAAACATGGCATTAATATGCCTATTATTAGCAAACTTTTTTTTGATGCTTAGTGCTGTGTATTTTATATAGTATAAATTATTAATATATCATAATACATATATATTTGGTGGATATAGTTCTAATCAGGATTATGTATGCATAGGTTAAAATAATATTCCATATCTCTAGTAACCTGCTACCTGCCACACATGGTCACTTGAAGGTACGTTAACCAAAGGTAAGTTGTCCTTCAGTAGAAAGTAGTATTTGTAAGGAATTTCCATTTTCTTCCAAGTTTACTTGCACTAAAGTTTTATTGCAGTAGGCCTTACCTGTTCATATTCTAAGAGATAATGGCAGTAATACTATTCTTACCATTTTATCAATGAAAAGTAATCCACAGATAGAATGGGATGTGCTCCTTTAGATTAGTAACAGTAATTTATTACTTAGTTAAAAAAAAAAGTTTAAAAATATTTCAATAAGAAAATAGGCAGAAATCAAGATATTTCTGATTAAGGTGCATATGTTTCTCCTAATTTACATGAAAAGGCTGATTTTAATTAGCATTCCACTTGCACCTTTTGTTTGTTTATGAGAATATGTGTCCTATTTCCACTGCATGCAAAATAATTCTGTTCCTTTTGTGTGGCAGTACTCTCATTAATCTTAACCACTTTTTACAGTTTGGTTGCTGATGTTGTGGTGTTCAACTCTGCTTTTAATATGGAATCATTTCTTACATCCATTGGAAAATTTATGAAGCTGATTCCTGACCACAGACCTAAGGATTTGGAAGAAATAATTAGACCAAAGTGCCAAGTTCTTTATTTTCCAGTCAGGTTTCCTGATGTGAGCAGGTCAGTACATTTTCCACGTCATAAATTGCTTCCAGCCTGTCAAAACTCTCTATTTATGGTGACGTTCCAAGTAATCAGCTACAGCCTTGTTAATGAAAGGGTTTGATAATGCGCAAAATCCCCTAATTTATAAATGTATTTCAATAGTCAGAGGCTATTCAGGAAGTGTCTGATCTGCTGAGCCTGTCCTGAGCGCGTGTTGTACAAACTTGCATCGTTCAGGATGAGTGATTTCCCACCTGTTTTAGTGATTTCCCACTTGTTCTAGTCTTTAAGGAGTTGCCTGCTCCCCAGCTCTGTATATGTTTCAACAGGAGAGGTCAAGGAGGAGAAAGAAATACTAGAAAACAGTAAAAGTGATAAGCCAGTAGTCAAGAAGCTAATATTTCCCTTGGTGTGTTGCAGTGGGATTTTATTCCTTCCTCTCCCCTCCTACCTCTTATTGTTTTCCAGGTAGGTGAAAAGCATCCCAGTAGCAGGGAGCACATGTTGGCATTGGTTGCAGCAGTAGCTGTTCTTTAGTCTTTCTCAGTTGCTCTGAAGGACGTTTTTTATTGCCCTTGTTTCAGAGCCTGTCTTGAAATTAGCAGTGGGTTATGTGGCTCAAAGGGAACATTCACTAGATCCTTTTCACTTTTGATTAAACCTAGCACAATTGTTTTTCCTCTTAAAGGGACTCTCCTCCCACCGAACTGGAACTTTGCTTCAATGGGACTGGCACTAAATAGAGTATGATTCTGCAATTTGATTATACTCTTAAAACCACCATGATACTGGGTACGTTTTTTTTTTAATCCGAAATAAGGATGGAAGGCACCATAATGACTTTGCCAGAATACAGCTTTTGATCTGATAATAAGTTCTGCCCACACTTGAGGTCTTTGTACTTAAAGTTTTTTCAGAGCATAGGCTGAATATACATTTGTGGTAGTTTGGGGTAGAGAGATTTTTGGTACAGAAGCTGAGGTTATGCTCTCCATTAATGTTCACACTACAGGGTTTACATTTCAGTGTCTTGGAAAACTTTATATTCCAAAGCACTGATGCAAATCGTTTAGAAATCAGTGTTTAAAGTGAAGTCTTTAAACCTATGTTTTCAGCAAGTGGGTTAGAATCCTCCACTGTTCTTTAGAGACTTGGCTGCCTGGGTGGAGTGGTGGACAGTACCCTGTGTATCTTTGAGGATTTACTATTGCTTCTTAGAGATCATATTTTTCAAGAGCAAGGGAATGCTATGAATGCTCAGCATGTTTGATATCGAGCCACTTTAAAAGGGTCTTGTGGCTTTGGCATACTTTTGGAAATCATGTGGCCCAAGCCTAGTTTTGGAGATGAAGTTGTGATAACCCTGTCTCATATATTAAATCAGCTCTTTCGCACTTGTCAGCCCTGGCAGATGGGGTCAAATGAGACCTGACAAATTAGTCTGAAGTCATATACTCAGTAATCATTTGTCCAGAGCAGAAGGTGATAAAGTGGGTAAAATCATTAGACTACTACCCAAACTGGTAAAGGAGGAAGATGTCACATCTTACTGTGTGCTCTTCTTAATGTCCTGGTCTGGTATTAAATCTCATCTCGCAAAGCAGGACACCTTTCATGTTTTAATTGTGATTGTTACACTTGAAATTATATCCAAAGCTATTTTCAGCAGCGATGGACAAAATTAAGATGTTCATAAACAACTGTGTGTCTGTAAAACTTTTTCAGCAGGGTAACCAGAAACACAGATTAACTATCAGTTCTATTATTTCTAATACATATTTCATTCAACAGCTAATTCTAGCGTAAGACCTGGGGGTTTTAGACAAAGCCCGGTATCATCAGAGTTAAAAAATAAAAGATGGAAGGACTGCTTTTGCATGACTCTGAAGTTTTTTGAGCTTGACCTTCAGCTGCAACCAGTATTATTTCTTTTCAAGATCATGTTTTAAATAATGTTGAATGCACCTATGGCAATTGAATGCTGCTTGGTTTTTTTTAATTTGGACTGTATTAGTATAGTGACTGAGTGGAGATTGAGGAGAAAAAGGTTAAGAAAAATTGTGTCCAAGCTAAAATTTATAAAGCAAGCTCTTAGCCCAGAGTGTTTTTCAAGTTATTTTCAAATGGTAATTTGCTTTATCCAAACCAAACTCATACAGTGTAAGTAAGTGATTATTTGCATGACTGAATCATTTCAGTGCCTGCAGTCTTTTTAAAATGCATAATTTTGTTGAGATGTTTGGAAAATATTTTAAAATTCTGAAGGAAAAATAACCAGGGTGAATTTTTTATTATTTTTTTCATTGACCTCTTTTATTTTGTGTGTGAATGTCTCAGGGTGTGTTTGTGTCTGAAACGCAATCTACGTTTGGATTTGGGAGAGAGGTAATCAAAGAAATCATCTCCATGCATGTGATAGTGATTTTTTTAAGATATTTTAAGATTAATATTGCAATTGTAGAGCAAAATAAAATATAGCTGACCCTTGAGAAAGAGCATGTCACATGACTTAAGCTGATAGAGTATCTGCAGCTTAATGTAATTACTGTAGGTGATGGGAACACAAACTAGCACAAGCAACACAGTAAATGAAGGTGTAAGGAGGAAGGTTACCCTAGGAAATATGTCTGAATACTATTAGAGGTACTGTTATGTATAGGTGTAATGTATCTTTAAATGTCTCAGGTGGGCATCTAATCACTGCTTTTTGCCTTTGAGAAGAAGTTATCGATGCTTTTTTATAAAGATTCTTCTTTTTAATAAATATCTGTCATAAGGGCACAATCTGTGTTCCCAGAGCAAACCACTAGACTGTGGTCATCTGACAATGAGAGGAGATGAAAGGATTTGAGGATTTAGCAGAATAAGAAATTTACTGACCTAATCCTTCTGTTTTCTGGTTCTGACAATGACTGGCTTCCATATTGCCTCCCCATGGTGCCACAACTACTCCATATATAATCACTTTCTATCATTTCTGACTTGGAATTCTCCTCTTCATACATTCTGATGAAGTGTATTATGTGGAAATACATATTGGAGTACTTCTAAGCTTGGAGTGAAAAAAACTTTCAGACTTGAATCTGTCACTTCATAGTGCATAGGTATTGCACGAGATGTAGACCAGTAGATGACCTTATTTGTGCTCTGTATCAGCATATGGGATTTTATAACACAGGGAATTAAATACATTGTAATTCACACTTACATTGTCATTGGCTTAATTTCAGTATATTTTCTATTGTAATGTAAATAAAATCCTAAATGTTTTGGGTTTGGTTTTGGTTTTCTATGCAATCAATAGAGTGTGTGTGTTTTGATACAGCATGTTTCCACTTTTTCATTGGAAAACAATGATCCAGGAAGAAAAATGCCTTTCTACTGATGTTGTCTTTGGGATTCACATCTCCATATGCCAGCAGACCCCACTGGAACACCTCTGTAAGGTCTTTGGTGATATTTTGTATGAATTCTCTTGGTTCATCTGCATCCATTGCTGTCTGTGGCAGTCAGCAGAGTGAGGTCAGATTAGGTGCTCCTTGGAATTCATTTAAATTAAAATTGTAATGTAGATTTTGGTTATTATTTCTATTCCTCTGACTGTAGTATATCTTTATTCTTATCACGATGTGGTAGAAAAGGAAGATGTTTTTATAAGCAACAATGAAGTAAAGTTCCTAAGAGCTCAAAATGCGCATTGGACTAAGGTGAAATAATAGAAAAGAAACATAAGAGGATGAGGATTACAGCAGAAAGCAAAAATAGCTTCTTTTAAGTGGAACTTGTTATTGAGTATCTTGTACTATCTGTGTTACACATTTTGATGCAGAATCGAAGATTTTAGACTGTTGTTTCTTAATTTGTTTTTATAACTTAGTACAGTTAACAGGACATTTTCAACCATTTGGTTTTATATTTTTTTAGTTGCAGTTGTAAGAGAGGCAGAATTTGCCATTTAGAGAGTACTTTAGGGACAGTCAAGGGAGTTCCTGGATAAAGCATAAGTTTTTAAAAGACACTGATGGGATGCCTTCTACAGAAATGTGACTGTCACATGTGGTGGAGCCTGTTTTGGGGAAAACAGAAAAAAAATGCATCAGTTGGACCATGCTTACAGGGCTGAGCTGCAGACCTCTGTTTAGATAACTAAGAGGCACCCCTTCCTCTAATCATAGTGCTATCTTATCGCTTTGCTGTGCGGGAAAAGTACGTATGTCAACAAGAAAAGAGGGTCTTGAGTCCATGGAAGCTCAAAGGTATAGGTGGACACTGGGGACATGTCTGTGTTGTGCAGAGAGAAGCTCAGCAGTGGTACCCAAGTTAGCTCTAGTGAAATGGCTTGCATATAGGAAGCAGTATACCTTAGAAGAGCAGCTTTTGGCTAATTAACCTTCCAGTAAAATAGCATATATTAGCTTAGGTGGAGTACTATGCAAATGATAGCGATTCCGGTACTGAGGCTAGCTACCGCCTTTGGTGGTGGCTTAGGCATCTCCATGGTGTGCCGTGCTCTCGCTGGTAGGTATAGCCTCCCTGCCACCATGGTTTATGGGTAGTTAGCATAATTAGAAAATGCCGATAGACTGCTCCTACCTTGGGGCTTGCTGCTGAAGAACTGGGTGATGGAAATTACTCCCCTAAATGTCTTTCCTCCTCACCTGCTGCGAGCAGATTTTGAGGGTTGATGTTGGCACACTGAGTTACGCAACAAGCATGAGGGATGCTGTCAAGATCTGGGACACAGCACCTGTTGGGAGGAAAGTGCAGTGTGGGCTTAAAAGGGGCATAAAACAGTTTTTCAGCTCTGGAGCCTTTAGCAGCAGGTCGGTTACCTTCTGCATCTCTGGGGTAAGTGGTAAGTGTGGGTAGCTGCACCTACAGCAAGGGGATTGGTGGTTGAATGAAGGGTGCCTCAAGCATCCATACTCAGTGGAGCTTTCTTACGTGATGCTTCCGCTGCACATGAATTATGTGCCATTAGAGAGATGGGGGATGATGCAGGAGTTTCCATTCTT